CATCTACACAATGGAATTCTACGCTACTGTAAAAAAGAAGGAATTCTTACCATTTGCAACAGCATGGATGGAACTAGAGAGCATTATGCTAAGCGAAATAAGCCAGTCAGAGAAAGATAAATATCACATGATCTCACTCATTTGTGGAATATAATGAACAACATAAACTAATGAACAAAAATAGATCCAGAGACATAGAACCATTGAAGAGACTGTACAACCTTTGAGGGAAGGTGTGGGGCTGAGAGGGTAAGAGATCAACCAAAGGACTTGTATGCATGCATATGAGCAAAACCAATGGACACAGACAGTAAGGGGGTGAGGCTTTGCTTGAGGGAGGGGGTGGCAGGGAAAGGTCAATGGGGGAAAAAAGGAGACTCACATAATACCTTAAACAATAAAATAAATAAATAAGTAAATAGATAGATAGATAGATAGATAGATAGATAGATAGATACATTTGTTAGTTAGCAACAGATGGGTGTCCTTTAAAGCCATGGGACTGAATGAAATTTCTTGGAAGTAATTGCCCTAGGAGCAAAGTGAGTCACACACCTGGGGCACAGTTTGAAGTTCAACAGAAAAGGGATCCAGAGGAAGAGATTCATTGCCCAGTTCCTGGTATGATTCTCCCTTTTAGTTGCTGCAGTGTTATTAATATGTCATTTTCTATGGGACAGAGCTAAAGAGTATAATTGGGATTTAAGTTATTAAAAATTTGTTTTCTCTTATAAGAATGTTGTAGAACTAACTACAAAGAAATGAATGGCACATTCAGTAGCCAATGGAAGGCAAAAAAGACAGATTAATCCCCCAGTTGACACCAAGATGGCTCCATCATAGTGGAATCAAGAGATATGCTTGCCTCTGCCCTTAGTTCCCCCCCTCCTTACCAAGACTTCATTGCCAAACTAATAATGTTTTTGTAACTCCAAGTCTTAAGTCTTTTATCATTTAACTATTGGTCTTGCTATTCCAGACTGCCTACAACATCTTGGGTCAGATTTACTTCCACAGATGTTGGGATCCCAAATATCTCTTGCTTCTTAGACAGATCCCAGTTTCCTGTGAGGCTTAATAGCTAGCTCATGCTAGTCTTCTCATGTCTTTTGAAAGGCTGCACTGAACATCATCCTTGTTAAATTATTGGCATCTGCGGTTTTGCACAATTCTTTCCAGAGTAAGTTGTTTCAAAGGGAGTGCTTAAGCTCCTCTAAAGTTATATTAGAGAACAAAGATGGCATGAGAAGCAGCAGATGCCGTCTCACTTTTATTTTCAAAGCATTCTCTGCTGAACAGCATACAGCACAAAGCTCAGGTTCTATGTTACCTCCTTGCTGGGAACTGTTTATTCATTCCCTCCAGGGGAAGTCCTTAGAATGTTGGAAACAGTAATCAGCATAGAGAGCCCAAAAGACCACTGAGACCCTGCCTTACAACTCCACCCCCCACAAGTATTTTATATAATACTTGTGAGGGTTTCTTTACTCTTCATAATCTGCTTTCCAGCACATAGAAAGTGTCAGATGCCATGTATAAGTTCATCTTCTTGAATTTGGGATTAATATAAATGGGACTGGATTAGAGATTCCCAAATTTTCCAGAAAGTTTCCTGATACCAATAGTGTCACAGTAATTATTTCATGGTACTCCATAAGAAATAGCTAATCATTCTATTTTTTAAATAGGTGAGTCCAAACAATTAAATTGTAATAGTAGTAGTTTGTGTGATGGTGGACAGCTGAGTTTCCCCTTTAAAATTTAAAATATCTTGAAGCACCAAAGTGAGTTTGCTCCAGCAGCCCCAGGTGTCAGCTGGGAACCATGGAGCCATGTGAGTAGCTACAACAGTGTCAAGCCCAGCATTCCCAGAGCATCCCTCATGGAAGTGGATGTCACATCTATCAGTCTCCTGTATTCCTTAATGGGAATCTGGGCTTTGAATATTTGGGAAATCGTGCATGATGACCTTAGGAGTTCTCCATTTCCAGCAAATATAAAACAAATGGCAGGAAAAGTAATATTTTCCACAAGGAGAGGAGGAATTAATCCAACCATTCACTGTTTATTATTAGTAGCAGTAGTGTGCAAAATAAGGCATGCTTGTGTGAATGTGAATTCTCTTCCAACTCAGTGTCAATCTGCAAGTTTACAAAATGTAATAAAAAGCCAGTCCCTGGCTCGTGGTGCACGACACGTGTTTAGCATTTGTTGCCTTCCTCTTATCCATTCTAAATGTGAAAATCGGCCTGCAGTTGATCAAGTTCTCTCATCATTAACAGCCTATAAAAAGGCAAAGATGATAGAAAAAATATTTCTGCATATTTAAAGAAAAAAAGTGATGAATGATGCATTTCCCCCAGAATTCAGGTGTTCTTCCTCCACAGTCTGCCTGTGAACATTTTATTGCTGGGTTTAACAGCCAAGTTTCAGCAAGCAAAACAAGGTGTCCCTTTCCTTCCTATCAGGGGATATAAAATGTTTGCATTTGGACCGTGTTTAACATTACTCGTAGCCTATAAAGTGAATGTAGATATAAGGGTCAGAATCTGTGACAAAAGGCAAAATTATGCTTCATTGCTGGTTTATTTTTAAATTCTGTTTTGTTCCTTTTATGTGGCCATTTTACACTTTCCAAGGTCTGTGGGGAATATATTCTATATGTGGCAATGCTGAATTGTGCTGCCATGGAGATTAAGAGAATGTATGAATGTAATTAGTTAATTGGCTGCTTGGCACTTTGAAAAGTGTGAGCTGGGTATTTCCTGCCCTGGAGTCTAACCTCAGAATGACCACCCACAGTCTGCTCCACACAGGGGATTAGGGGCAGACACACTTATTTATTTATTTGTTTGAGAATTGGTTAAAATATGTGTGCCAGATGAGCTTCCTGCCAGCAAATATATTTAACTTAGAAATGATGGATAAAGCATTTGCTGAGAAACAGGAGAGAGGGAAGCGAGAACTGTTTCAGCCCAAAGTTCACAAGACAAAGTGCATCCATGTATATCAGAGAGTTTGCTTTTCTGTATTTCATTTTGACCTTGTACAAGACTACAGGGGAATAGAGCCAAATCTATTATTTCTTTTATGTCTAGGACATAGGCATGCATGTACCCCCTATTGCCTGAGAACACCACTCAACATGTGTTGGACATTCAGTAAAGTTTACTGACGCCAACCATGAAAGCTTTTCTACTCACTTCCTCTCTGGAGCAAGTCATGTGGCTAATGATGGAGGTTGGATTCAGCTAGGGCTGGGAATTATTCCCAAGTAATTAGGAATACTAGGAACCAAAGATAAAAAGCAAAGGGCCATGGAGGAAAACCCAGGGTGAAAACTACATCTGAGTGGCAGAACCTGGACTCCATACTCTGGTTGGCAATGTATCAACAGAGCAACCCAAGAGAAAATAAGGCAGGAGATGGTCTCAAGTAGTTTTTATTATAGATCCTTCTTTGTTTGGCTGTGGGGAAGACAATAGAATAAATGTAATTTCTAGATGACAGCTGCCATTTACTTATCTTTTCTAATTCTTATTACTGTCTTTAGGATATTCTTCTTATTTTCTATTTGCTTCAGTCAGAAATATTTTTAAACTAACATAATTTATTTGAATTTAATTTAAAGTGTGAGAATTATATACTCTCTTAAACACAAAGGCATAATAAGAATATTATATATAATATTTATTGAGCCATATACAATTTTAACCATTCTATAAGATATTATTATTATTATTATCCTATTTTCAGAAATGAGGAAACTGAGTCTTTAGAGATTTTTTTAGTGACTTGACCAACAGTATAAAATTAGTAAGAGGCAGAACTCAAAATGCTAACCTAGGCTGTCAGCCATCACAACCAACACTCAACCAACCTCCCGTGGCAATCACCCTTGGAGATCTGTAACCCAAATACAGACACACAGCATTATCACGTGAAACATGCTGAAGAACACAGCAGGTACCTCCAAAGAAATGGGCATGGGTTAGAGATAGGAAAGGAATGATGAGATTTCTTGAAGATTTTGAAAGTCATGGCAAATACATGAGGGGAATAAATATAAAATAATGGCTTCCTTGTCAGAGATAGTAAATAAAAGAGTGACCCTGCATACTAATTTAGAAATTTCATTTCAATTATTTTGAATAAGCAAAGCACCTGATTCAAAGTCCAAAAGACACAAAAGTATACAGGTAAGTCTCCCTCCAATCCTGTTTCAAGCCCCTCAATTTCCCCACACAGAGGCAGCTGCTGTCATCATTTTCACAAGCATCCTGGTATTTTCTATAAAGTGGGGTACTTTAAGACACTGATTTTGGAAAGGAGTAGTGCTTGTGTACAAACCCTTTCTCAGATATGCCTGAGAAATCAAATATGGTAAATCAGGTCTCACATGTTTGAAATTTATGATGAACCAGTTTAGGCTAAGTTACTGTCTGTACATTCTATTTAATTTTTTCTAAAGAGAATAAGTGTGTAATCAATATAACAAAGGGTAGTGTTTCTCACCTATCATTGATAAGAAATTGCTTTCAAGCACTTTAAATGAACTAAATTATATAAATCATTTGTAGTTTTTCATCAAAACAGCCTCCTGAAGAAGCTCAAATTCTCAACTTCCTACTTTCCAATACTTTCTTTACCTACAAATATATACATATACATAGGTGTGTGTACATGTGTCACAGTCTTTGAAGATGATAGAATTTGAACTTTTCACCATCTTATTTTCCTGGTCTTTCGCATGTTTGACTTGCTGAAATTTGTGGCAGTTTTACCATCATTCCTGTATGATGTGAGATATGGGAGAGCCAGCTCTGTCCTGAGAGCAACTATGTGTTAGTCACTGCCTAGTGGACAGAGTTGAGAATGAAAACAAAGAGATGGCCCCTATTTCTTCTTTAAGGTGGCCAGGGCCCCTCAACTTCACACTGGGCAAACCATCACCCCTGCAGTAGTTACCTGTATGTAGGCACCACAGACACTTCTACATATCAGTTGGCAAAATACATGGCAACACTTCCAAGAAGTCTGGGAACACAATGAAGTGGTACATTTCTGTAACTGGTCTTCATCCTGCTGAGCCTTTCCAGGTGCAAGGCAGCTTCTAAGTCAAAGCTTTGGGGTTTGAGGGCATGTGCCACAATACTTCTGGAGAGAATACCAGCCCCTGTCCACTTCACATCAGAGGGTTCTCTCATCCTTTACAGGAAAAAGAAAATGGAAAGGGTTTTTTTGTTTGTTTGTTTCTTGAATGCTTGGCTCTGAAGGATGGGAAAAAGAAAATGGAAAGGGTTTTGTTTGTTTTGTTTGTTTGTTTGTTTCTTGAATGCTTGGCTCTGAAGGAAGAGAGGTTCTCCCCATCACAGAGTATGGTGGGATTAGCAAGGGTTTGGGAACCAAACCGAGTTAAGTCCAAATATTGTCTTTGCCACTACTAAATCTATTACTTTCACCAATGTCCTTGGTTTAAACCTAAGTTCCCTCAACCATGAAATAAAGATAATCATTATATAGTAACATCAACTTTGCAGCGTTATGACAATTACCTGAAATGATGTGGTCATAGTACCTAACAGAGTTGGCACTCAGACAATGTCAGTGTTTCAGTATTTGCATTGGAGACAGGGAACTGATGTGACAGAAAATCCAAAGCCTACCTATCTCCTTTCTCCTCACAAGAGCATCTTCAGGTTCTGGGGAAGGTGCTGGAGGAAGCAGAGACTAGAGATGGTTTAGGATATGTTTTCTTAAATTCCCTCTCATATTGGTTCTCCGAGAGAGCACAATGGCCGGGAATGGAGCCCTGGGCATCGGTGTACTAAATTTTCAGACTTTAGGGGTGAGAAGCATGGTCTGGTCATCTAAGTCTTCTTAAACTTCCCAAACTATTTTCTTATAAAAATATTTACTTGTCTTGCAGGATTCTTATCCCAACATTAAAAAATAGGTAAGGATGTAGTATTCATGAGAATAAATAACCCTAGGCCAGTGGTCGGCAAACTCATTAGTCAACAGAGCCAAATATCAACAGTGCAACGATTGAAATTTCTTTTGAGAGCCAAATTTTTTAAACTTAAACTATATAGGTAGGTACATTGATATTAACTTAATTAGGGTACTCCTAAGGCTTAGGAAGAGCCACACTCAAGGGGTCACAGTTTGCCGAGCCACAGTTTGCCGACCATGGCCCTAGTCCAATCCCCACAAGGGTCTATCCTAGTGTCTAATGTCCTTTATGAAATAAGAGAATGAATGGAGGCATCTTTGAGTCACAGAGAACTCATCAACATCTCTCAGAATCTACCAGCAGCATATTCCTATTAAACTGCTACAAAATTCCAATATAATTGACTTCTCTTGTGTGTTTTTTCATTTTATGTGCAGTTATTATTTAAAATTGGTACCTTATGAATGTCACAGTTTAACAGAACATGCACACCCCTCCCTCAAAAACATTTACACAATGAGAAAATGTTCTCTTGTAAAATTTAGAATCTCTCTGAGACTCTGAGGTTTAGTATCTGTAATCACTTGGTGATTGAGTTTTTATGTTCTTGACATTTTTCTAAATGAATTCTTATCTGATGTCAACACCAGAATGGTAGCTTGTCTTTCAATGTATTGGGTTAAATGTTAAGGGAGAACATCATCCAGGAAAATCCCTTTGGTGTTGTTGTAAATCTTAGGCAATTGTGAGTGGGCTGCCAGACATGGTCAGGACCCTGTGGATAATCTGATCACTGGGAACAGTTCAAAGCACCGAATATGTGAAATTCAGGCTGAGTCAACCATTCTCCATGGCCACCCATGCAGCTTCCTTGGGCATATTTTTAAAAAGGATCCAGACAGCAGATGCAGAAAATTTGGGGACCCTTTTCCCTTTGAGTGAGTGTTTCCAGAAAGCAAAATAAATAAAATGTCAGAGTTTGTTCATCTGTTTGGCAAGGCAAGCTCTCCCTCTTCTATGGAGGAGGCTGAGCTGAGGAATGCTGCGGTTTCTGGGATTCAAAGCTGGAGACACAGCACAACACACACCTTATTTGAGAGCAATTCACATCATACATTTTCATAAGTCAAGGACCAGAAAGCAAGCTTTGTTTTCAAAATGTGTTTTCTTGGCACTAGTTACAGCAATTTGGTGTGTGGTTCATTGTCAAAATGCTGTGGGTGGCAAAGCAACCCATTAAAGGTGCATGAAATATTTAAATTGGGGTGACTTACTCCTGCCTTTTCCTCTGCTCCTAACACCTGTATTCCAATGACAACGGTTACGTCTTTTGTGGGGTGATAATCGGCAGGATGTCAGAGCTGGCAGAAACTTTCCTGAGCAAATTGTTTTTCTGTATAGGGCCAGAGAATAAATATTTTAGGCTCTATGGACCATATCATTTCTGTCCCTACTACTCAACTCTATTCAACTCAGCCGTTATGGAATGAAACCAACCATAGGAAATACATAAACAAGTGGGTGTGGCTATGCTCTAATAACATGTTATTTATGGATTTAAACCATTGATTGCTGTTTGTTTGTTGACACTCCCCTCCCCCCATTTATATCACTGGTTCCTTTTTACATATGAAGAAACCAAAATCCAATTAGGCTAAAAAAGTTTGTCATTGTCACAAGCCAGGACACAGCATATCAAATTCCTGAGTTAGGTTATTTTTATTATTTTTTTTTACATGTAGTTTTCTCTGAATAATAAAAAAATCTTCCTGTGCCTTAGAAGCCTCAAGAAGAAATAGACAATTCCTCTTCTTTGTTTTGACATTTTCCTATCTAAAGTAAATGTCTTATAATGTTAATCTACTATCCATTGAACATTTAATGTAAAAAACATTCTTAATGAAATAGACATATATGAATATGTTTATGGAAAATGTAAGTGTGTGTGTTACCCATAAATACAGGAGTTGTTATTTAAAGCCATAGGGGAACAGTCATTTCTAATAGGAGGAGGCCAAAAGACTTAGACGCTGATGGCCTGGTTTTCTGCACAGAAGGTGGCATCCTGTTTCCTAGAACCTCCATTCCTACTGTTTATTTTAGTGTGACCAGCCTTTCAAGCATCCCTGTCAGGTTTCTATGTATTGCGAACCCCCAGCTGCCAGTGACCTCACTTGCCACAGAATTTATTTCACATTTTTCCTTTGTAATATGCTATTGCTTTGGTGATTTAATAGTCATTTTATTTTGTTATTTATATTTTACTAATTTTTGGAACTGGTTATTAAAGGAGAATTTATCAATGAAAGGAGAAAAAGAAGATAATGTAGATTATTTTACATGCTGGAGAGAGAGGTTTTTCCTCCTCCTCCTCCTCCTCCTCCTCCTCCTCTTCCTTCTTCTGACATCAGTGATAGCTCTCCTCTTTATTAGGGAAAAGAGTGTGAAGATGTGGATGAGGAAATGGATAGGACCAGATCATGGTATTAAGCCCCATTTGGGTGAGTTCTAGTTCAAGATCATCGTCGTAGGCAGGGCTGACACTTTATGAAACCCTGAACGTGCTGGGGTGAAGGGGATGTGGAAGGACAGCGCAGATGCACTCTGGCCTCTCTCCTTTAGCCATGCCCAGGTCAGGATGCACAGCAAGCTCACCGAAGCTTGTTCCTCCACAGCATGGCTCATTAATTTTGATACATATGCATGTGTATTACATGTTACATGAATAAAACGATTCCTTATCCAAGTAAATTTGGGAAATGGTGTATTAAGATTCTATAGATTTCTTACCTCAGGGCTTCTCAAACCCTTTAATATGCAACATGCATTAGGAAGCTCTAAGACAAGGATATAGTTTGCAGTGTTTTCCTAACATGTTGGGTCATTGGACCTTGTTATCACAAAACAGGTAAAGGGACAACATCCTCAGAACACATCTGGAAGTGCTGAGTTAAGTTATTTTATCATTTGGCACCAGTGGAGTCGCACTTCCCGTGGCAGGCCCATATCTCTCTCAGTGGGTGTCCAGTGGACAGCTGCTGACTAGTCAATAGGCCAACCTGCACTGGGTGGTTCAAATGCATGTACCTTATTTACTTTCGTATTTCTTTCCCCCAGTAGTCTTCTCTTCCTTCCAAATATCACTTCTTCTGTATAACGTCTCCTTATTCCTTGTTGCATCCAGCTGTTGCATACACATGCACAATAAGGGGGACCCAATTACCTAGGGGACCCACAGAGGTTCTCTGTTTTCCTCTGACCTTTTTGAGTGTGAAATATTAGCTACTGGACAAAGCTTCAGCCACTTTGGGTTTCTCGTCCTGTTCCTGAATGAGTGCCTTTGTCTAACTTTGCCCTCCTGTACCCCTTCCTTTCCCACACCTGTTACTCTGGGTCACACTTATCCTGTAGTCACCTTTCTGTCCCCCCCCCCCATTCAGTGCTGTTATGCTAATCATATCATTCAGTGGTGTTATGCTAACACTCTGGGTCACACTTACCCTGTAGTCACCTTTCTGTCCCCCCCATTCAGTGGTGTTATGCTAATCATATCATTCAGTGGTGTTATGCTAATTAGTCTGTTTAATAAATTTCATATTTGGCAATGTCATGTATAACATTTCTCAGTTCTCTGTTTCTTTTTTTTAAATTAAATCTTTATTGTTCAGATTATTACATTGGTTCCTCTTTTTTTCCCACCATGACTCCCCTCCACCCAGTTCCCACCCCACCCTCTGCCCTCACTCCCCACCCACTGTCCTCATCCACAGGTGCACGATTATTGTCCAATCTCTTCCCGCACCCCCCCACCCCCCTTTCCCCCCCAA